TTCCTGTCTTACCATCAGCTTCAGTGGGGATGAAAATAGGCATAAATTCCATAAAATTTAACCAGAAATCATTGTCTCCTGCGGCACGTGAATAATAATGCCATGGAAGTTCAGTTTTGTAAAAATTCTGTATTTTCATGTACATTCAAGAGCAGAGTCTCTGGTCAATTTTTAAGTAATAGCGTTATAAGTTTCAAACAGATGTATCTATTGTAACAGTAGTCAGCATTTTGTTATACATGAAAGGCTCTGAAATAAAGGACTTTCACAGGTGTAAAAGGGACAACGCTGCAATGTTCTCCAGACAAGCCCAGGAGCCAATGCAGGAGCACTGTCTGCAAAACACTTTTATATTCTCTAAGTCATAGCTTTGTCTCATGTTCGTACCAAGAAATCACAAATCCTCGTCTCCATGGGGATAGTGATAGCCTTCACTGTCAGAAATTTGTTTTCTGGCAGCCAAAATTTTCACTGTTTATAATTTAATTTCACTACTTATTAAAGTCGATAATGATATATTATTCCCTTCAGATACTAATAGTAAGTGGATCTGCCTCATAATCCCTTAGTTTTGCTCCAAAAAAAGGACTTTGCAATGCAGTACAGTTCTGATCCAGCAGCTCTCTCCCTTTTCGTCCCTGCACAGCAAGTTTGCACTGGAAGCACAAAAATTCAGCGGTTCCCAAATGCTTCTGTCCTGTACCAGTCAATCCTCTGCAATGCCTGGCAAGCTGCCGGAAAGGCAGCGTGGTTCTGCAGACCATCTGTGGTCCCTAGCCTCTGGACCATGTATCATGGCCTCAAAGACGGCTTTATGGGAACAGTTGCAACAGGTAGCTTGTCCTGGTCCAGCTGGAGAGCTGGATGGGTTCCCACAGCTCCTGTTCGAGCCACTATGTGCTGATTGCCCATGGGTCATCCACAAGCCGTGGAATGGGGTCGTGCGTGTCCAGCCTGGAACAAAAAAGTGTCCGGAGCTGCTGATTTAAGTATAGCTACCAGAGAGGTGCAAGCCTTGGTGCCTCTTGCTTGCGCAGAGATAAGAGATCTCGGTGGGAAGTAAAAAAATCCATGCTTTGCCCTCCTTCACATTAGTTAATGCTTCAGCCTCTTCTACTGCTTTTAATTAAAGGAGCCACAAGGAACGTCTTGGTATTTAGGTAGAGACACACACTGTGTTTTATCACATAGGAGGTAACACAGACTTCTGAGGGTATATTAATTAGAGAATGTATGTATAGTTCTGCTTTCATGAAGGCTAAAGACTAGGGCCAATAAAAGAGTTAGAGAAATGCAAATACTTCTTTGATCAGTAGTTCTTGTACGTGCACATAAATGCAGTAAGCCAGGAAAAAGAGCAAAAATACTAGAATAAAGTTATTTTGGCTTAACAAGACAGCATTAGCAAGATACTATCTGCATAATAAAAGTATTATACTTCCTTTGTTACTAGGATAGTTTCATGATCCAGTCCAGTAAATATTAATAGCTTGAATTACGACAAAGCCATTAAAGTATTGCATATGTTTCCAGAGACCTGATTCAATTATGACCCAGAAAGCTTGAGTTTGAACTAATTCACTCGTTCTTGAAATATGTATCATACTTGGAGTGTTTTTCCCACTGGCAGATGTCACAGATATGCACAATTTATGCATGCCAGCTGTGCATAACTTACCTAGATTACCTTTGTGAGCAAACGGAGTTATCTAACACGAAAATGCAGGGAGACTGTAAAGCAGGCAGTGGGTGAACTTTGGAGCTTCAGCAGCTCAGTTCTGGAAGGGTAAGTTCGAAAGTTCAGGTGCATCAATCTAAGCCTTTAAAATCAATAAAATTGAACTAAGGAGTTTTCCAATAACAGACTGTCTCCTTAGATTACTGGCTCATCTGCTGATGTTTGTATGGAAAATATTGTAACAAGCTGTGGTTTGTTTCAGTGTGGCTGTAGGGGCTATGCAATTGTCTCCCATCGCATGACGGGAGGTATGCAAACATCTGTCAGTGCTTGTTGGAAATAAAGATAGGAGGACCGGAATAAATACATTCATGTGAAATAGTTCTGGTGACATTCTCATTTTTCAGAAGCAAAAAGCTATTCCGTATTTTTATTTTTTCATGAAGTAATTCTTCTGTGTTGAGAGAAAGATGCAGGGAAGAAGCAGGTTTTCTTGGGACTACTTTGCTATAGACTTGTTCTGCATTATAATCTTACAAAAGTGAGATTACATTAATATGTTTATGGGAGAGGGCTGGATTGAAATCATCTTGACAAATGTTGGTATATATCTGCATCTGAGCTGGTCACTCCAGACCCCATTTGCAGATAGTGGAAAGAATGAGGTATTTTTAATGATGTGATACATCTCTCCCTAGATGTCTAAAATCAGTCAGATGAATCATGCCCTAAAGTTAGATGAGATGAATTCCATTTCAAGTGTTTAATATGGTTCTGGCTTAATAGTTTGAAAGAATTTTTCTAATAGACCCAGAAGTGTTCAGCAAAAGTGCAGACACTCACATCCACATTATTTAATCAAGTGAACAGCAGTCTTGGACCACTTTCTCATGAAACCAGGCAATTCAGACTTTATGGAGCCACTTCTAGCATTTTGTGAATGTTCTGACAAAGGGAAATCATAGACTGTGATGAGCTGCTATTAATGCAGGACCTAATCTTCAGAGGTGGTTTGTGTCCTCAGCTCCACAGAGCACACAGTGCCTCTTAACCAGTCCCGTGTGTTTTGCAGGATTGGGCATCGGGAACCCAATTCCTATGGGTACAGCACCGCTGTTCCCATTTCAGGAAGCACACACCTACCAACGAGCCTTGCGTTCTCCTGGCGAGGTAGCCGGGGAGATTGAGGAAGAAGGTGCCCTGCCTGTGCTTGGGAAGAAAGAACTGCAGATAAATGTGATAGATTTTGTGCTGAGAATGCAGAGTCTCATCTAAAATGTGGGAGAGCTGAAGCACAAAGTGGGGGCATGACTGTAGAATCAGGGCAAGTGGGAATTGCTATGTGTGTCTTAAGGGAAGCTGTGATCGAGGAATGGATGGAAGAGGTCAAATGTCTTAGATCTTCTAAAACTGGAAGAGAATCCGATTCACCAGGACGCACGGCGTGGCCCATAGTTTTCCGGGGCACTTGTGCTAACTGCAACCCATGGCCGAGTTGTGCAGAAACAAGTTTGTGGTATCCGCGCTGATATGCATATGGTAATCTTTGCTTAAAATACCTGGTCACCATGCTCCAAAAGTAAAAACGAATTGCAGCTTATGATCTGACAGTCTTCCCTCCGCAATAAACTAATTATTAGATTGTTTACAAGTAACAGTTTGGAGTTTGCTTTACAGGCTTTCTGGGACTCTGGCCCTCAGGCGTCACCTTTCAAGCTTTCTCCTGCAAGCGAGAGAAACAAACTCTTTTTTTAATATTCATACAGATTCAGGAGAATGGGCTTAGAGCAAAACACCAAATATCACAAGGCTCAATTTAAAATTGAAGCACTCAATTTTCAAAATATATTTATATTCCTAGCAGTGATACTTTGTTGGAGGGACAGGAATTAAATAAATGTCTCATTTTGCAATGGAAGAGTGTTTTCTTCCTCAGTATACTAGTAGGGAGATTGTAATACTTTTACCTTCTGTTAGAGAATAAACTGAAGACGATCTGTCAAAATCAAGTGGGTCTATTCCACCTTTTCCTGCCATGCACCGGTTGATGCTAGCTCATGTGTCTCTGTGATACCTTGTAGAGAACAGCTTTATTAATACTAACGTGAGTTTCAAGGGAATGCTGTGCATTGTCTGGACTCGCCTACAGAAAAAAAAAAAAAAAAAAGATCAATTCAAATCTATATTTCTTGAATCTCTTATTGGATGGTAAATAGACTGCTCTTTGGAGTGGAAATGCAACATTAGAATAATTTTATTTAAACTCAGGCTGGAAATCTTTGATGTGGACAACGTAACCTTGAATGATTTCACAATTTTGCTCCACATAGTTGTGAAATCAGCCTGAAAATGCATGTTAGCTAGGGCAATGCAATAATGCAGATTTGTAGCTTATGTACTTATAACCATACAGACAGGCATAAAGCATTTCTTCTCCCAAGTCTGAATATTTTAAAACTTTTGTGACAGCTATGAAATTCTGCTGCAGCAGGATGAATAAAAAGTTGATTTGCTTGTAGTTTACTAGAAGAACTATTCTTGGCCTGCCAAGATAATCAGTTCTTTCGTGTATCGCCACAGTTGCACTAAATACGTTATATCCTTTCCATATATTTCTTTGACTGTGGAAGGATGACTCTGAAGTACAAATCAGAATTTGAATCAGCTAAAAAAAAAAAAAAACTGGCAGAGATGGTAACTAAGTTATTGCTTTATTGCTTCATGTCAAAGATACAGTCATAGGTTGGGGATGTGAAAATTTGCGGAGCCACGTTTGGAAATCTCAGGGCCCCTTTCTGCTGCACGCTGACAAGCTGTGGGGCTTTTGTCCAAATGACTTGTCTGTCAGCTACGCAGAGGCTCGCTTGAATTACAGCCTCACAAAAGGTTTAAGTGTGTTCAGAGGAGAGATATACTCTGTGTACAGCAGAATGCTGTGTATTTGTCGTATAAGAATGAAGTAAAATAGCCAGAAGAAGCAACTAGAAAATACAAGGCAGCCTGTAGAATATTGAACCACCTGTTATAATTTCAGAAATAATTGTTACTAGCCATTCAATTCCAAAGAATGAGTTTTCTTTTTTTCTTTAAAAAAAAAGAGGTACAGAAAACGTCAGGTTCTCTGTTAAATTCTGCAGATTTTACATTTAAATACAATATAGTTCTCTGGTGCCAACCCTATTAAATGACATTTGTTTCTTGATTGTATAAGACTTAAAATGTGACTGTATATTGCAGCTGTTATTCCTGTTGCCTACTCAAGTGATTAATAAAGATTGCCGTGCATCATTTTCTAACAGTGCTACAGGCAGTACTGTAAATCGTTTACTGCATAGACCTCTCAAACAAATGTTTGACAAAGGAGGGGAGGATGTTAAAGATTAAATTGACTGTGCTGTACATCAAGCAAGACATTTACAGTCATTGCCATATTTGTAGTCAGCCCATGTCCACTTTGAAACCTAGAGTAGTAATTTTTCTTTTTTCCAGAAAATACTTACAGTGCCAGGTAATTTCAGCTATGCTTACTATGAGCCCTTCTTGGCTTGTACTAAAGTGTGACAGCAATAAGCTTCTTTCTTTCATTACTTTTGGAGATATACTCTATGACAGGTTGATTCCTTCCTTTATAAATTGTAAATAAAATACATATGCTCAAAAAAATAAAGTAGGTTTTGAATATGATAAGGGTCCTGCAATAAACAAGAATTGCCAATATTCCGAAAGTGAAGGTAGGAAGGTGCTGACTTTTTATTGTTAAAATCATCACCTGCGTGTATTAAGTAAATGAATTTGATAAGCAAAACAAGAGACGCCTGTCCATTCCCAGCTGCTGGCTCCCCCTCCCTTCAAGCTCTGGCTGCAAATCTACAGAATAAGGGCAGGAATGCCTTTTTCCCTGCACTTAAAAGCTACTTTCATAGCAGCCACATGCAGATGTCCAAAGGTAGAAGCTGACCCTGCATCTACCAAGTTCCTTATTGCAACCAAGAAAAGGCTAACTGTTGTGGAAGTCGTATATTCCTGAGAATTCCTATATTAAGCAGCAATAGTTGTATTGTGTTTTGCATTACTATAGGCAGTGTTTGCAAATCTTTTAAGATTAGGGAAATCAAAACAGATTTATTTAGACACTTTTAGAAGTTATATAGAAGTGTGAGTCAAACCCATGGAATGCAAGAAGTTCCTTTGACATTGACAGGCTTTAAAGTAAGCCCTTGGCACGCTCAGCCTGATAGATGTTAAGAATTTAGGAGGTTTTGAGGAACCTTAATGTAATTGTGTCGCACAAGTATTTTAAGCAAATTTAAAACTCAGTATTCATCTGTCCCTTCGGGTTGCTTCCTTTGTGAAGTTAGTAGTAGTTTTGAATTCACTCGTTCTTGGGCAAGATTAGATTCCATACTAACAAAAGGTTTTTTAGGAAAGAATCGACACTAGCATTCAAAATAATTTTATCAAATTATGCTCTTCCCCAAATACAAAAGGACATGGATGATTTGCCCAATTTATAAATACAAATTGAAAGTGGCTATTTAGAATATTAAGTTTCTTCTTTCTTCAATTAGGTAATGACAAGAAACACAAGGAACTTATTCCTGATTTTCAAAATTTCTTCACTTTGAGTTCTTAGCATTCAGAGCAAGTAATCCACTTTCCTGTTTTGTTTTGGTTTTTTTCCTGTACATATGCAGTTCCGGATGCAACAGGACTTGTATAGTCACAACCAGAAGAAAAGAGGATAGATTTTGGGAGCCTGGGCAAGGTGCACAATAGGATGTGAGATCTCAGAAATGTCAGGAGGAACATGGGGACAGGGCAAGTTTGCCTTGCTGTACGTCAGGCTGGCAGAGTGTCCTGTGCAGTATGAGACTGAAAAGCTGTCACTGTACCCCAGGCATTGCTTTTTCTTATTTTGTCTCCTAGGGAACTCTACTTCCTTAAATTTGCTTTTCACAGGGGCAAAAGGGTGTGTAGCTTCAAGTCATTAGTTTTCTCATATCTCTAAATCCCCTGCACAGGAGGCTTTTTGAGAAAATGAATGGCCTGAGAGTCACAACACCAATTATAAACCAGTTACTGCTCATAATAGTTGGGTTTTATAATACGTTGCCATGAGGTTTAGGGCAGTCTCTGAAGAAGAACCATAACATTTTTGCTATGTACTTGTTCAAAGGACATCTCTTCCATGAAGATTGGGGGTTATTTTTGTTATTATTATTAAGCCATTCTTTGCTCGTACTGAAGTGTGAGATCAATAATTGTCTTTCATTACTCTTGCATTGTTGCAGATCATGCTTTACACTGTGTACCACTGACAGTATTTTAACTTATTGCAGGAGGACTCTGCCCAGGGTCTAATGATCCCTGTCTGGAGAAGCCGTGTCCAGGGGACATGCAGTGTGTGGGGTATGAAGCTAACCGGAGACCGTTCATCTGCCAGTGCCCACCAGGAAAGCTTGGCGAATGCTCAGGTGCATGTCACAGCAGTAAAGGGGGATATACTTGAACAACAAAGTGCTGCCATTATCGTTATGTAGGTAGAGGTGCCACTGAAGTCAACAGAAGATGTACTGCTTAACCCTCCTCAGCATGGGCGTTCAGCATGTGTGTTTATAAACCCTGTAAAATACTTGTCTTTATAGCCATGGGTCTGTATGAAGACCATGATCAAGTTTCCATTGAGAAATTCCCACTGGCTTGGTTGAATCCCAGACCAGTAAAACAGGCTGCTGAGAAAACAGGACTTTTCCTAGAGGCTGTTATGCCAGATGTTTTTCTGCCATGGGCAAAGCTCTATAATTAACTCTTCTGCTTACGATTTAGATTACCAAAATTCCAGTCTTTATTAATGAAAACACTATGCTAACCCAAGAAGAAAGTTTGAGGACATTTGTTAGTTCTCTGCAGCTGTGTTGTTCCCTGGGATAGAAAGAGCCTGGTGGAAAGCCCGTGCAGTGGAACTTTCCGTTGACCTCAGTGAATCCAGGGCTGCATGACAGAGGACATGTGCTGTTTCTTTCCGTGATGGAAACACAGCAGATGCTGAGCTGTGTCACTGTGGTCCTCGGCAGTGGTTGCAGGGAACTCATTGCAAGGGTTTGGCTGGCATCTGCCCACACCTGACTTTATACCCATAACTCAACTGCCTGATGTACAGGCATGGTTATCTTTGACTCCCTCTGTTGTCAGTGAGGCAACATAAGTGCCTCCAGGGGTGTATAACCTTAAAAATGCTGAATACTTGGAGAAACCTCTCTTTTTTATAAGTATGGAGAAATACAGCTTTCTTCCACCCCCTGAAAAATATTTTTTTAAAAAAATACAATATGTTTTTGTAGTAGGTGCCAGCTTTTTTTTTCCCATCAAAGATGGGTTGTATTTATTTCTTCCTAGATATTCTCATTAGCTCTATAAATTCATTAATTAACTTGACAGTTGAGGAATTATTTCATATGTTGCTAAAAGAACATGTGTCTTTTCAAAATGGTTATTTCAGGCCATACTTCCCTTAGTTTTGCTGGGAATAGCTACATTAAATACCGAGTTTCTGAAAATAGCAAGAAAGAGGAATTCAAGTTGGCTCTCCGTCTGCGAACCCTGCAAAGCAATGGGATTATAATGTACACCAGAGCGAATCCCTGTATAATTCTGAAGGTAATTAAAATAACTTATCTTTTCCACAGTTGTTTTTCTTGATTATATGTTTTCTGTTGGCTCTTGATTTGGGGAAGGCTGTTCTCATTTCAGCTGTAGATTGAGAAGATGAAGTCTGATCTGTTTCATGCTAACAGGGAAAAACAACAATTTCGACAATGGCAACAACAACAACAATCAAAAAAGCAGCTTGTTAGTGGTACTTTACTTGGAAAATGCTCCACTGGGTGCTGTTCATTATAAGAACATTATGCGTGTCTGCATGCAGGAGCCAATCTGCACGAGATGTAAGATTTGGCCATTTATATGACCATATAGTCAAAACAATGCATGCTGAAATAGCTGTTCTTCCCCTGTGCCCATGCCAGTGGTTAGAGGATATGCCCTCACTGATGTCAAGTTAATTCCAGAAACCGACTGCTTAGAACATGTCTTATACTAAATGTGAAGATTTCTGCACTCCGTGAATTAAGATCATTTGTTGAGAGAGGCATGGGATAGCTGGAGATTGATATCCAATCAATATTTAATTGGTAAGCTCTCCATGCATTTTTGTTCTTTGCTGGGTTTCTGTGGAATGGCAAATATCTGCTGGATGGAAAGAGAGTGCTGAGCTCATCCAAGAACCCACATGTATAGTATTTCTGCTGGAGCCTCTAAGGTCCAAAATGAAGACATTGACTTTTGTAACTCAGCCATGTCCTGTAATTCAGCAGTGGGAGAAATGGCACAGAGCCTTTTGTGTCTGTATTTGCAATCTTTGGAGTTCTTTTGGCTGAATGTTTAGGTAATGTTAAAATGGCTAGATGAGTTAGTAATGGGCAACAAATAATTTTATAGCTGTTAGACTGAAATATTTAATGAGCAGGAGTACTGTCTGTCATGCACTGGGGACTCTCAGTGTTGTTCAGATTTGTACAAGACAATTTAATCTCTGCTTTGAGACACACAGAAATGCACAGTTTCAACTTTTCAGTGTACTTTTTGTTCAAAACATCCAAAACAAACCTGCAGGCTTGAAGACCTTTGAAATCTTCTTCATGGTTGGCTCTTAGCATATATCAGTAGGGAATGTTTGCAATTTTGTAGTTTTGAAAAATGCTTGAAAAAAAACAAATGGCCCTGGTGAAAGGTGCCACTTGAAAACAATAGGAGATGATACATTCTAGTGGAGCTAGAATGACGACAGGAGAATTTATTTTGTTAGAGCTTAGTGTATAAAACTATCATTAAGGAGTCCAGCAGGTCAGGTCGTAGGCAACTGGGTGGGAATCTCCAATTGAAGCTGAGAAATTTTACCACCAAAAGAGAAAAATTCATTTGATTACAAAAAATAAGAGATCCCCTCACTGCAGTGGCCTGGGTTGGGATTTTAGTTCTAGGGTAGGAATTACATGTTTTCAGTCACCACTTTGCACAATCACCTGACTATTTTGCTTTAAAAGTTACTGGGAGAAAAAATAATACTTGAAGGAGCAGGAACAAGAGCTGTGGCTACTCTGCTCCAGTCTCCGAGGCCAACCTCCAGGTCATGCTCTTTTTTGCTTCCTAGCTCTAAGAAAGGATTTCCAGCCCTGAACCCATCTCATGTGGCACTTGGTAGGGAGCTTCGGGCACAGCTGCTGCCTCACGTGTCTGATGGGAGAGGTCCAGGGTCTTGTATGCAGTGCTATGGATGCAAGGGCTCCACCTTCTCCCATGCATCGGGCAGGGATGGACACAGGGAATTCCCCTCCCGGAGCCTCATGCTTGGCTTTTAGATAGGGCAGGATTTGCTGTTGCAGTGGATATGTCCTTTTTCCCAGGTCTGGCCCTTGGCTTCTATAAGCATAGGTCTTAAAGAAAACTAAAGCATTATACTCAGCATGGGTCGTTTTTAAGAAATGGCATCACTTACAAGGTTGGGAATACCTCAAGTTTTGTTTGTGAAAGTTGTTTAGCAGAGGAACATCAGACTAAGATTTCACAAAAGCACTCTATGGCAGATAAATGGCATTATGCTCAAGAGATGTAGCCATAGCAGGTCTCTTCAGGGATGGCAGCTGACTCACGAACTGTACTTTGGGGATCCCTAACTGAGGTGTCTTTAAGTAAGTTACCCTTAGACTTTCTAAGCATATGTTTTTTTCATTTGTAAACCAGAGGTAAGGCCTTTTTAGTTTGTTTTCTTTTTTAACCAGGTGTGTATGTTGTGAGATAGGGAAGCGCTCAGAAATGAGTCCATTAGGTAGATTAATTAGAGGTCTATAAATGTGAAGTTGTTATCATTTAGGCATTGCTTTCAATTAAATTAAACATGAGGAGAAGCTTTCCAAACAGAGGATAAAGGATGGGATCCTGTGCTCTTTTGAGCACTCTGGCATCACTCCAGCAAAGCACTTAATCACTTGCTTAACTTCCTGTATTTGAAGGCAATTGGAACTACTCACATACCTTAATTTTAAGCATGTACTTAAGTATGTGCCGGATTAGCACCAGAGCACTAGCACTGAGCCCCAAAGGCGGAGGTGAAAGAAATTTAGACCAACCACATAGTAGGAGGCCATGGGAGAATGGACAGAAAACACCACCGCTGTTGGGACGTATAGTGGCATTGATTTTTTTGAAGCAAGTCTCCCCCATTGCAGTCTATTTAAAAATTAATGCTGCAATATGGTTTTCAGTGTTTAAATGACCATCTTAATTTTGGGAGCTCATACATTCGTGATAACTCCAGGGATGGAAATATTTCATAATCATTACATGGTGTCCTTCTTGGATGAATAATCAATTCCATAGAGCAAACTGCTTGTCTACTACTTTGCTGAAACCCTACCAGCTACACTGTGTTGATACGATATAATAAGGGTGTTATTTATTCAGCTGTTTCAAATAAAGCAACTCATCCATCGATTTTGAGAGGCTGGCCATTCTTTTGTTGCATGCTCTTGCTTTTAAGACAATTGGAGCAAAATGAGATGCAGGTCGATGGCCTTTTTTTTTTTTCCCCCTTTGAAAAGATTATGCGTGCCAAAAACAGTATCACCATTTCCTTTTTCCTATGTAGCATCTATCTGGGAAAAGTAAGATTTAACAATTTAAAGCATTGCAAACCCATTGCAGAAGACGATTCTGTAATTTATTTCTTTTTTTCAGGGAACATAATGGATATTCAGGTTGTTTTGTGAAATGTAAATAATAGGTAAAGAAAGACCTTCCTATCATGCCAGAAATATAGCTGTTAAATGGTAAAAGGCAAGCATATTTTCTTCCATCCAGGCAGTTAATGTAAAACTTTGCATGGTGTAGTTAAGTGTATATTACACATTTTAATGCATTACTGCTGCATGGCTTATGCTGGATAAGACTGAAGGTTGGATATGATCCCAGCTATGGCTGGAGTTGAAATGAGTAATATTTTAATTAAATACACAGTTTTATACAAACGAACCTGAAATGTAATTCAGCTAACGAAATATTTCCCCAGATAGATTAGTAGGCAGCATGCTGTATCCATGGTGTGTGGCTGCAGATGGACTGTGTGAGCCTAAGGTGGTCTCAGAAGAACCATTTGATCATTTTATTACCTATGTTGATACACAAATATGGATGTTAGCCAAACATCTTAGCCAGGCTAATATTCTAATATAATTTACAATATGTGTTTGGCTCTATTTTGCTCAGTGAATGAAACTGTTGAAATGCAACAGATTGCATCAGCTTTTGGAGCCTTCTCTGTTCTTTGTACTTCTCTACAGGTGAGGAGTTTTCTCTCTGTAAGAGCATACATGCCTAAGTACGCATTAACCTCACTGTCCTAATAGATATAATGAGAGATACTGTAACTAAGCCCAGAAATCTCTGAGAGGTGGAAGCTTAGTGGGAATTGTCTGCCCAGCTAGGATGAAACACTGTCTCTCTGCTTTCTTCTTGGTGCAGAGAGTCTCTGCTGGCGTCATAGGCGGCACTAGCGAGGGGTTGCAGAGTTTGCATCTCTCTGCTGAGAGATGGAGTAACTCAAGCTCTCTGCTGTGTTAGATGGCATAGATGGAAAAAAAAGCAGTGCCACACATTCAGTCCTGAACTGAGTCTGATGCTGCCAACCCTCAACCAGACCAGTTGAGGTTCCACTGAGGTTATTGTCTAGATAACTGCTGAGCCTGGATGAGACATTGGCCATTCATTGGATTTCCGTACTATTCACTTGAACGTACCTCATTTAGTAGGAAGTTAACTTGAAGTTCAGCTTTTCTTGGTACCAAGGTCCAGGCCCCCTTAGAATCATAGAATCATAGAATGGTTTG